GCGTTTCTCAAACTGGGAGCGAGCATCACATCACCCGAGGGGCCTGTTAGGACACATCGCCGGGCCGCACCCCGAGTTTCTGCTGGAGTAGGTGTAGGGTGGGGCCGGGAGCGGGCTGGCCGTTCGTGCTAACAAGTTCCCAGGTGCTTGTGATGCTGGTTAAGGTCCCAGGTGTTAGTGATGTTGAGGCTAAGTTCCCAGGTGCTGGTAATGCTGTGACTAAGTCCCCAGGTGCTGGTGATGCTGGTTAAGGTCCCAGGTGCCGGTGATGCTGTGGTCCTGGAGCCGCACGGAGCACCCAGCGGACCGCACGGCCTGCAGCTGAACACCGCTCGCCCCCGGGGTAGCCCACGCCCGCCCAGCTGCTCTCTGCCCCCATCGCTGAGCGAGTAGGGGATAAGGCCGAGCACAGGAGGCCTCGGGGCCGAGGACCTGGGGTTTATATGGGGGCTCCTGAAGGGTGTGTGCGGGCAGGAAGTTAGGAAGACAAACACCACCCTTGGGAACCGGTGGATCCTCCGCGTGGCTGGGATATCTCATTGACCTCCTGTGGTGACAAAGGTGAACAGGCAGAGTCCCAGCCCTCCAGGGGCTCACAGGGACTGAGAAGGGAATGCTTCTGGCCATGCCTCTGAGATAACTGTCCCCAGGGAGGGAGGGCTGTTCTGTGGAGGGGGGGGGGGGGGGCGGGGCTCCCGGGGCTCTGGAACCGGAGGAGCGGGGAAAGCTGCCTGGAAGAATGGGCATGTGCTCGGAGACCTGGAGGATGGGCTGGAAGGCGGCAGGTAGAAGGGGTAGCTGGGAGGGGGTGACATGGGGAGAGGTTTCCCAGACGGAACGTGCAAGGAGACTGCCAATGTGCAAGGGGGAGAGGGAGCAGTTGAGAAGACTTGACAGGCAGGTCTCAGACCTTGGCCTGGTTTTATTTGGTTGATTTCTGCTTTTCTTTCTGTTTTTCTATTCAGTTTCTCTCCTTCTTCTGTCTCTTTTGCTGGCCCCTTGTCAGATGCTGTTGCTCCCAGGGCTCTGTCCTGGCTGCCCTTTCCTCTTTCTCCGTGTCCACGCCTTATGAGCTCCTCCACCCTCCAGGCCTCCCTTCCCATCTCCTCACTGATGGGAGAGGAGGGGGGGCCAGGTGTGTGTTCCAGACCAGTCTGTGCACCCTCAACTCCACACGGATGTCCCCAGGCATCTGTCCTCCTAAGCCCGAGGATTTAGGGCAATGACCCTCTCATAGACAGCTGGTGAAGAGTCAGCTGACAATAGTAAATTGCTGGGACCACTCGAAAGGATCCAGGAGGGAAGACTCCAGGCTCAAATTCGGAGTCTACAATGTACAGGCTGAGTGACCTTGGGCAAGTTACTCCCATCTGTTTCCCTTACCTACAAAACGGATTTCGTGATAGTCTGTACTTTACAGAGTTGCCCTATAGATTAAACTGTCATTGCGGTCATTGCCTGAGCCTTTGGAAGGTTGTGAGTACCTGCTCCAAGGTCACTCTGCCAGCAAGCGGCAGGGCCGGGTCTGGGGCCCAGAGTTCTCCGGCTCCCAAGCCAACTTCTCGGCCTCCTCATCACACTGTTTCTCTGGAGATCGTGTAACAAACAGGGAAATGCTTGTGGCATAACGTTAAGTGAGAGAGGACAGCAAATTGCACCATCAGCGTGGGCACACCATTTTATTAAAAAAAGGAAACTAATCTACACATAGACAAGGCTAGAGGGAGAGCAGCAAACGGCTCGACGTTGTATTGGAACAATGTTTGTCTTCTTATTCTCTGTATCTTCTCCAAGATAATCGTATTAAAAAGAAAATGGCTGAAAACATCAACATATAACGTTTTAAACAATTACAAGTTCATAGCCTGTTTTCATGTCTGAAAATTACACTCTACCGGTTTCTCTTCTTGGTGCTAGACTCACTTCCCTGAACTCTCGAAGGCCTGGGTGGGAAGAAGTCCTGCAGCCGCGTCCACCAGCCACCCCTCAGCGGACAGCCGTTCCCTGGAGCAGCGGGCTGTCAACATCAAGCCTGTGAGCAAGTAAGTTCCAGACAGAACCCGGGCTTCTCCACCGCCCTCGGGACAGCGCTTCTGGGGATCAGTTGCTTTTTCTTTCTTTCTTTCTAAATAGCCTGCCGAGTGCTCTTTTTCCAGTTCTGGCTGACTTGTTAGCTACAGCCTGGCAGGGACGCCTGCCAGGTACCTGGCTCCGTGAGCACCGCCCAAACTGGTCTGGCCAGTCCGCCCGCCCCAGGTTCTTTCTGCCAGGACTTGCCCTGGAGCGCGCGCGCGCGTCCCCGTGTGTATCCTGTGTATGTGGGATGGTGGTAGTGTGTGTGAGTGTGTGTGTGTGTGTGTGTGTGTGTGTGTGTGTGTTAGAGACCCACCCTTCTCCCCAGCAACCCAGGTAGGTGGAAGGCAGCTGCAGGCACCAGCCTGGCAGTCAGGCCAGATGGGTGGAGTTGAATGAATCTAACCTGGAATTTCAACTTGGCCTGAACAACAGGTGAGAGGGAAAAAGCAACAGAGAGAAAGGGCAATTTGGCAACTTGGAAATGTTCTGTGCCTTGCCCCTTGCCCGCCACCCCCCACCCCCGCCTGAAAAATACCCCAGGGTGACTTTTCAAAGTGTCTGCGCCCGATTGGGTTGCAGGATCCGGCTGCGTGGTGCCCCCTCCGAGGCTGCCCGAGCCCCTCCCAAGCGCTGCCTTCCCTGGTTACCCTCCGCGGCGCGCCCGGCCCCCCTCCTCGGAGAGGCAGGGCGCGGGGATCGGATTAGTCTTTGTTTTCGACGCGAAAAGAGCCGAGCGCCGCCAGGGGGAGGCTCGCCAGGGCAGGGTCCCGGGATCCCCTTGGGCAGGGCGCTCGGCCGGGACCCCCGCGAAGGCGCCCCCCCTCCCCCCAGCCGGCCCGCGCGGCCTCTGTCCCCGAGTGCCCTCTCTCTGCGGCCAGGCGGCCTCGGTACGCAAACGCGCCATGTCCCCCATTGTCCGGCCTCGACAGGAGCGAGCGGCCGCTGGGCGGGGGGAGGTCAGTGGGGTCGGGAGCGCAGGGCTCCCCGGGGCGCTGGGCCCGCAGGGAGTGGCAGGAAGTGGGGCCCTCGGGCCGGGCTCGGAGAGGGCCTAGGCGGGGAGGTCCGTGCGCCCCACCCCGTGCGGCCCGGGGCTGCAGAGGCGCCGGAGGGGAGGGCGGGAGCGGCCGTCCCCAGGGTGGCGGCCGGGCCAGGGAGGGCGGACCGCGGGGGGTGGGTGGGGAGGTCCTGCAGGTGCAAAGGCTTGGCGCCCGGGCCAGACCCTGCCCCCACCCGCTCGCAGGTCGCCCGCTCGGCCCCCTCCCCCTCCCGGGAACTCCCCGTTTTCGTGCAGCCCCGGGCCCGGCAGCGGGGGCCGCAGCGGGGCTCGGCGGGGCCGCACGTGCGCGCCCTCCCGGGCGGGGGAGTCCCCGGCGAGCACGTGCCGCGGCGCGCGGGGGGCGGGGAGTCCCGCGGCCGCCTTCATTGCCGCCGCTGCTGCCGCCGCGGCCGCCGCTGCCTCTTCCTTCCTCCCGCGCCGTCCCCTCCTCGGCCCGGGCGGGGGCTCCGCGCTCCGCGCTCCAAGCTCGGCTGGGCCAGGCGCCCCGAGCGGCGGCGGCGGCGGCAGCGGCGGTGGCGGCGGCGCGCGGGCCGGGAAACTTTGCCCCTTTGTGCGCTCCGCCCCGGAGGCGGCGGGCAGGTCGGTGCAGTCGGTGCCTTTCCGGCTCCGGGGTGGGGGAGGGGCGGCGGGGGGGCGGCCACGGGGGAGGGGACGGCTCGGGGCTGGCCGGAGGGGCCGCTACTTTGTTGCGGGGGGCGCTGCGGGGTCACCGTGTAGCGGGGCCGGGCGGGGGCGGCGGGGCGGGGCGGGGGCCGCGGAGCCGCCGGAGGAGCCGGGCGGCGGAGGCCCCAGAACAAAGGAGCCCGGGCGGCGGCGCGCGCAGCCCGGGCCAAGCCTGAGCGCGCCCCCCTCCCCGCACCTCCCCCTGCGGCGGGGCGGGCCGCCCCCCTCCCCGGACCGGGCGGCGGCAGGAGGGGCGGCCGGCGCGGGAGAGCCTGCACGCGACCCCCTCCCAGGCCGCTTCCGTGCAGGGGGCGCCCGGGCGGCCCCGCCGAGCGCGGCTCTCTGCAAACTTTATTCTGCAAGCTCTGCCCCCGTTGGGGAGGCCCCAGCGACCTCCAGCGAGGGGTGCGTGCGTGCGTGTGTGTGTGTGTGTGTGTGTGTGTGTGTGAGAGAGAGAATTGGGGGGAAACTCTCCCGCCCGTGGGGGTGGGGCAGAGAACAACTTTCTTATAAACCTCATTGATCACCACCTCCCATGCGTCGCCCAGGTTCCCTGAACAACACCCCATCCGACCCCCGCCTCCTCCCCCCTCAGATAAGGCGTGGGTGCCAGTGCGCCCTGCCAGGGGGCTCTGGGCAGAACTTCATGGAGCCAGCCCTTCATCTCTTCCCCCATGTTCTCTCTTCCCAGCTGCAGGAAAAGGCAACACGTGAAAGTTGTCTGAGCCCCAGGTGATGCTACTTTCTTCCCCTTTCTGTCTTTTCCAGGCAGCCTTGCCTCTACCATCCTGACTCGGGAAGAGGGACATCGGGAGAAACTCGCCCTGCTCTGCCCCGGCCACACACCTGTCCGCCTCATGCCTGCGTCCGGGGCGGGTGAGGGTGAGGAGCCCTCCCGGCCAAGATGATCCCTTCTCTGGGCGCTGCTGCTGCTGCTGCCGTCCTGCCCCAGACCCTGGGCCCCAGCGAGTGGGCGAGCGGCTCCCACCCGAGCCCCGCCGGACTGCTGCGGAGGAGGTGAAGACGGTGGAGAAGAGGCACTCACCCAGAGCCTGGAGCTGCAAGCCTCCACCTTGTAGGACCGTGACTGTGCTAAGGAGGAAGGACGTGTGGGTGGCCTTCGCAGGCAGGCAGGCAGGCGGGCAGGCGGGAAGCTGGACAGTGGCTCTGCCCAGGCACCTATGCCCCCGCGTCTGGCAGCGGCATGAGCCAGTTTCAGGTGCCCCTGGCCGTGCAGCCGGAGCTGCCGGGCCTTTATGACTTTCCTCAGGGCCAGGTCATGGTGGGGGGCTTCCAGGGGCCTGGGCTCCCCATGGCTGGGAGTGAACCTCCGCTCCGAGGAGGGGGCGGGGATGGGCGAAAGAAGCGGAAACGGTGCGGCACGTGTGAGCCCTGCCGGCGGCCCGCCAACTGCGGGGCGTGCACCAGTTGTACCAACCGCCGCACGCACCAGATCTGCAAGCTGCGCAAGTGTGAGGTGCTCAAGAAGAAAGTGGCGCTTCTCAAGGAGGTAAGCGGGCCTGCACGCGTCCGGCTACCCTGTCCCTTCCTCGGGGCGGCTGAGTGATTCCCAAGGGTCTGGCTCGAGAGAGCTCGGTCCTTCCACGCGTTCGGAGCCTCGTGGTCCCGCGTGGCGTGTGCCTGTCATTGGAAGCCGGCGTGGGCTCCTTGGCCGGGCTGATCATTTATAAGAGAGAGTAACTGGGTCGCAGAGGACTCCAGAGTGAGCACGCTCATCTCTGATGTCTGCGTTTGTCCCTGGACAGTGATAGCCAGCTTAATCTCTAGGGGTTTCTCGTCCTGCTGGGAGCTTCGGATGCATTTCAAGGTCACACCAATGCCTGGGGGATGTGGAGGGTGGTGGTGGTGTCTGGTAAGGGATGGAAGTGGGTGGGTTTGGAAAGAAGAATTGGGAGTGGTTTTATGGTTTTATGGTGCCCTGATGCAGTAGGATATTTCTTTCCATAAACCTTTTTTTGGGAGGGAGTACCTTTTTTTTTTTTTTTTTTTTTTCCCCTCAGAAAGACGGCAGGGAATTTTATGGGAAAACCAGGATTTGGATTCCCCTACAGAGTATATCTTAAAGTCAATGGTGTTATCTCCCTGTCTCAGGACCTGGCTCCGTGCCTTGGTGTATCCGAAGCACTCAGTTACTAATTGAATGAATGACACGTTTTTTGACACATTGTCACCCGCAGGAAGGAGCACTCCCATTATTTGGAGTAGCGGCGGTCTGGTCGCGGGAGGGGAGGAGGAGCTGGGATGAGATCAAAGGAGGGACATAGAGGGGCAGTGACCCTGCCCTGGCCATCTTTTCCTGCCACAAGGTTAGTGGCGGCCACCCCAGCGGAGAGTTGGCAGGAGCAGGGACGAGCGAAGGCGAGCAGCTCGGGAGGCGCGGTGCGGCGGCTGAGGTCGCTTCAGGCAGCGGGACTGGCGCTGGACAGAGGCGGAGGCCTGCGCTGGCCGTAGCGCTCCCGGCTCTGCCACGGAGCCCTCCGCCTGGGCCTGCCTTCTCCTCGGGGAAATGGAGGGGCTGTGCTTGATGGTCTGGGAAGCCCTTTCCAGCTGTGAGCCGCCGGGCGTGCGTTTGCGGGCGTGCACGTGAGGGCGAGGGCACCTGTGGCTTCGATGGAGCAGCGGCCGGCGCTGGGGTTTTCCTCACCGCCTGGTGCAGAGCGGTGCCCTGGGCTCGGGGGGTGTGGGCCTGTGGCTGGAGGATGAGGCCACGCGTCGGGGGCAGGGACGTGGGTGTTGCTGGGATGCTCTGCTCCCTCTCACCTCGCCTTGTCCACTCCCAGTGGAAGCAGCACATCCCGGTCTGGGCCTCACAGGCGCCGTGCCCTGGTGAACGCAGACATCTGGATCACATCTGCTGCTCCCAGCCCAACTTGGGAGAAGCATCCAGCCCCTTTCTGTGACTAGTGTTGGGGGAGTCGGCATCTGCTGGACCGGGGCCATCTCTGAGGGGGGGGTGGGATCGGAGCTGAACTTTACTCTTGGGCATGAGATCTGGTGTTTGGACGAGAGGAGAACCTGCCCAGTCTACTCTGTAAAGCTGGGTAGCTATCCTCCCTTCCTCCTTCCCTCCCTCCCTTCCTTCCAGTGCTCACCTCCTCCGATGCTTGTAGTCTCACTCCATTCCTCCTGTAGTCAGACCTGAGGGGTGGGGGCCTGAGCTTTATTTCTAGGCTGGAATCAGTGGTCCTCGTGAACCAAGTTTAAGCTCTTTTTTTTTTTCTTTTTTTTTTTTTCTGGCAACGATAAGACATACCTGAGGGAGGGGGGTTGGAGGAAGTCCCCTCTTCCCGGTGTGAGCTGCTGGGTGGTGGGAGTTACGATACTGGGACTTGGGTTGGCTGAGGCTTAGGACAGCCTGTGAAAGACGTCTGCATCCCTGCGGACCTTGCCACGGCCGCCGGGTCAGGGAAAGTGCGCTGTTGGCCTGCGGAGTCCCCTCCGGGGCAGAAGGTCCGCCCAGGACAGTGTCTCCCAGTTTCTGGAGCAACAATGGAAAGGAGACAATGGAGGGAGCTTTTTCTAAAGCTAATTTTCTTTGGCCTAAAGAGGAGTACTTTGTCTTAATAATAGGTCCTTCCACTCCTTAATGTTTCAAATGTGCTTTTATATATTATATATATATATCATATATATATATCATATATATAATTTATTTTTATGAAATGAAGGTATTGATAGAAAGTTTTTTTTTTTTAAAAAAGTCTTTACTAAGCAAAGTACAAAATGACAACTATTAACCTGTCTCCATAATTTTTTTAAAAATTTCATTTTTTAATCCTCAACTTAGGATATGTTTTTGTTTGTTTGAGAGAGAGAGAGAGAGAGAGAGAGAGGAACATCGATTTGTTCTACATATTTATGCATTGACTGGTTGATTCTTGTATGTGCCTGGACCAGGGACCAAATAAACAACCTTGGACGACGCCCTAACCAACTGAGCTCCTTGGTCAGGGCCTGTCTCCATGTGGGTATATTTTATTGGTCTGTGAAGGCCAAAATCGTGAGAACCTCTGCCAGGCTGCGTTCATTTCATGGAAGCACCTCCAGCAGAGCTGATCTGCCCAGAGGCTCCGCCTGAGTGGAAGCAGCCCAGCACTTTCCAGGCCCCCAGCACCTTACCCCTTCCATCTGAGCAGCCATGTAGCAGAGGAACAGGTCCCAGGCCTGGGGGCGGTGGGAAAGGAGAGGACAGGATCCTGGCCTCGGAGTTTTCCTTGGTTTGGGCTCAGGAATATAACGTGAGCATTGGACCCACACTCTTCAGGTGGAACAGGACACAGCATCCCAGGAGTCTCGGGAACCAGACCATCTCCGAGCATCCCAGCTGCCCGGTATTTCCTCTTCTGGGCACCCTTTCCTCCTGCCATCCTGTCTCCACCTCCCCCGGCTTCCTTTGCGCTGTCTGTCGACAGCTGCTTTGGATCATCCTGTAAGTGGGTAACCGTTATCTTGGTTTCCCCGGCTTCCTTCCCTGCTCTCACTCCTTTTCCAGTGGGAGGGTGGGTGGCAGTGCTGAGGTCTGTCAGAAGAGAAGCTCAGCACGTGAAGCAGCCCCCAGAGCGGGCCCTCCCTCCGGGGCGGGCGACTACAGCTCTGGCTCCGAACGTGCGGTAACACACCTGAAGGGGTTCCTTCCCGTTTCGCCGTCTTCCTTTCTAGTTTCCGGAAGGATTTAGATCCTGGGCTCCGGAGACAGCGGGTTAGGAAAGTCAGATTTGGTGGGTGTGGAGACACAGGGACCTCAGAACCCGAAGCACTCTCCCGAGCACCGGCTTTCTCATTTGTCAGGCGGCGGAACCCTTCTTTGCAGGGTTTGTTGTGAGAATGGAGGTAAAGTATGCATAAAGCCTGGCACCTAGTAGGTCATCAGTGGATGGCGACAGAACAGTCCTAGGACATCTAGAAAAGAATTCATCTTTGTGCCTCAACAACTATGCATTGGTGAGCCTCTGTTTTGTAATGGTAAAGATGCAGTTCTCATGGAATGTTTATCTCCAGACATTCCCGCGCATACTCATAGAAGAATCGTGGGGGCAGAGGGAAGGAGCAGTTTGCCGGCCTCTGCTGGGGCGGAGGCTGGACAGCAGGAGCAAGGAGCCACTCTGGTCCTGGCTGAAAAGTTGCTCATGGGGGAGGGAAGTGAATGCTTGGGGAAAAACAAACAAACAAACAACTTGTATTAAAAAATGTATGCATAAGGGTGGAAGCATGACTGAGAGTTTTAGTGAAAATGGAAAGGGGATATATATATGGTGTGAGAGACACTGTCTTCACCCTCAGCCATGTATTAGAAACTGCTCTCGGCACAATTCTGAGACAAGATCCTTTGGAATTGGGGATCTCCCAGCAATATTGGACCACCTGATGGATGCTTGCCTCGTCGGTCGGTAGGTCTGTTTTCCTGAAGACAGAGGCTGTGAGGCGGGATCCAGTCCCCCAACAAAGGGAGAGCTGTTGGGTGAAGAAGTGTTGAGACATTAGAGAAAGGGGCCCCTCTTAGCAGCTGTGAGGCAGGGGGCAAGGGGGGCGGAGTAGGGTGGGGGGACAGGGGGGGCGTGGGGAGGCAGGGAGAGAAGGCTGGACAAGGAGAGGTGCCATGGACTTGAGACAATTGTGTGTTTTTTTCAACAAGTTTTGAACCCCCTGGCCACAGACTCTAAAAGGGAAGTTAGCTGGAGGGGTAGGATGGCTTTTTTAAAAAGGAAATGCTGACAGAACAGTCCTGCATGGTGCCCTGAGGAGAGGAAGATGGTGGAGAGGGGAAGAACTGAACCAGCTGGATGCCGCCGGCCGCTGCCTGGTGAGGGCAGGGGGCAGCAGACCCCTCGCTCCTCCTGTGGGAGAGGCTGCGTGACACCGAAGGCAGATCCGAGTGGCCCGACCCCTCAGGAGGAGGGGCAGGAACTCCAGTGGCCAGAATGTGCTGAGGCCGGTGGAAAATACTCAAGACAATAAAAAGCCTTTTGTATACTCCCAGCAAGAAGGAGAAGGCAGGAATAGGCTCACGACTTCAGGGAGCACAACCAGAGACACACAGAGAGGGGGCAGCCGTGGGGGCCGGCTCAGGAGGTGAGGAGTAAATGGGAGGACCGCCGGGCTGTGATTAGGAAGGCAGAGCCGGCCCCGCCCTGCCCGCGTCTGAGCCCCTGGCTCCCTGGCTCCCTGGCTCCCTGGCTCCCTGGCTCCCGGCTGAACACCTCAGTGACCCGTGTGGAAGGACGTCTCTCTGAGATTCGATGGTGGGAAGGGAGCCGAAGGACCAGAGACAGGTGAGAAGGCCACACTTGTGAAGAGATTTTGGAAAAATGTCGTTTGGCGTCCGTTTCTGACAAATCAGGAGCAGATTGTTACGGCGGTGGTGGGCGAGGCGTTAGAAAGGCAGGTGGTGAGCTTTGAGGGCTCCTGTGGCTCTTGACAAAGCTGCCCAGTCGAACTAACACATGCCTGGATTTCTGCACATAAATGCTGGTGTGTCCTGCCAGCCTCTCG